CTTCAATCATTAGGAACTCGGTGTAAGTGTATTTTGCTATTTTTTCTGTGATCCCTGTAACCTTGAAAAAGATAAATTTTTAAAGATATAGGCATAGTTTCAATACTCGATGCCTTATTGGTCTTAAGAGAAGCGTTTTCAGAAAATGCTGACACAGGACTAACAATGTATAGATATGTGACGAACAGACGGCTCCAATACCATCAGATAATCTCACAGGCTATTCGTGCCGGGTAAGGAAAAAAACATTTGCGAAACAAAGAGGTATGGGACGGTTAAGGCCCCAGAGTATTCAGCTACATTTGTCTAGTAAAATTTGATATTTTTTCTTCTTTTGTAATTTCAAATCTGTCGAAAGGGATAACTTATTTCGAAGCTACCATTCTAGCAACTGAAGAACAGGAACATAACAAATTATGGCGTATTGGATACAATTTTTGGGAAAACTTGACTTAAAAACAGCTTCTTTAGCTATCTAAAAAAACACTGAAGTAGACCAATGTCATACCCAAAATAATATGTACATGAGCCTTAAAAATATTGGCACATTGCATGTAATTGGAAAACACTGATGTTAATTCTTCAGCAAAAGAGTGTTGTTTCACCACTATAATTGTTGCATTTAGTCATATATATATCACCAATAAATATTGGATTGAACATTCCTCAAAAGGATATTACATCATGTATTTTGAAGGAGCTACCAAATGTCCCATTACTTTTATATTTCAATATTCTGATAGCTTACCTAAGTTCTCTTGAATAGTCTTTATTTTTGTTCTTAGATAATTCGACTGATTGATGAAAAACACTAACTGATTGGTTTATAGAAGACAATAACTGATTGGCTTAAAGAAGACAATAACTGATTGGTTTATAGAAGACAATAACTGATTGGTTTATCGAAGGCAATAGCTGATTGGTTTATAGAAGGCAATAACTGATTGGCTTAAAGAAGACAATAACTGATTGGTTTATAGAAGACAATAACTGATTGGTTTATAGAAGGCAATAACTGATTGGTTTATAGAAGACAATAACTGATTGGCTTATAGAAGATTGGTTGACATGAATAAATAAATAAATGGAAGGTTAAACTCTTTATCTAATTAATATGAAAGATCATAATATCAGTTGATACAAATACAGGTATACGAGTTATTGCAGTGAGCAAAATTGAACGAATTTGTATACGCTTTGCATTGAAAATTGTTTTAATACATATCCATTTCCATCATCCTTTTTTACTTACACACAATGAAACAAAGATTTGATCTAAAGTTTACAATAACAAGACAGATGATAAACCATATTTTACTCGATTCTAAACGTGAGTATTTGACTTAGGCGGTGTTACTTCCAACAAGTCTGTTCACAAACTCATGTTACATAGTTGTTTAAAGTCTAGTAAACGTCAACGTGAATAGCATGTACCCTTAAATAAATATTAAAATTAAAAACTCATTCAAGTAAATATTTCTCAACAAAAATAGTTTACCGGTAAATATATGAAAAACGATGTGTTTAAATTGCCAGTTTAAAGACTCGTTAAGCAAATATTCTCTGAGCATATCAGTCCTGGATTGCATGCTCAGATATGAAAATAGAAAGACATCTAAACCAAAGTTTAAAACATGAAATACATTTGAACATGTAAATCTGAAAGTATACAACTATTTCAAACACAAATCACATATGTAAAGCTGACCTTGACGATTATTTCATCTCCTTGGTGTTTGATAACGTCAACTCAATACTCAAACTAAAAGTCTTCTAGCTATGAACACAAGTTGTTTGATTCCATTGGTGTACTGGTGAACATGAATAAAACTACATGATTATGATACCTTCAGACTTCCTTAAATTACACATTGAAGCACAAGCGTGTCCTCTGCTGCAAACATGCTTCAGTATTAGTGAATCTTTCATAGAGGAGGAATGTTATTTATAAATCATATTTAGCTCCAAATAAACAGATCATCTTAATGATGCAATTACAGTGACAAGAAATACATGTATCTCCTTTGCGACATTATGAATGTAATGAGTATATTCTTTTAAAAATATATTGCAAATTTTCAAATGAAAGATGATAAATATTAAAACAATGTATAGGTTATACCCTTCAAATAAATATTTTTTTATCATTAAATGTATTCTAATAACAACAAAAATTAAACCTAACAACAAAATCAGATTTCTTAACATACTGTGAAATCTGATATTTTCGTTGGGGTCAAATTTCTTGTTTTCCCCCAAAAATCACTATTTCTTGGGTACATTAATTCGAGGAATACAAGAACCCACTTATAGGGAGAGTAATTTAATGTCAAAGTTGTAATTATACTTTGTTGGTGAAGAATACCAAAGCAATCAACAAATTAAAAACCCTATGAAACTTAGCACTTTCTCAGTAGATCTTTTTACAGGTATTGGTATCAGTATTGTAAGCTAAGCTAAAAAATCAAAGGCTTTCAAGAATGTGAAGGTTTGAAACAAATCTGACCAATCAAACTCAAGTACAATATTAGAAGTGTAAGCACTATGTAAAGAAGCCCATTCACCTAATGTCACAGTGATTGATGTCTTATTTCAGTAAATACCACATTTTAACAAGCAAACATTTTTCACTATCGAAATTGCACAAAATGTTATTTGTTTATTATCATGTTATCTGTTACTTGTTAATAACATGCTCTGTTGTCATCTAATGCAATCACAAGTAAAAAATATTTATACAGGCTTAAATTGATATAAACAATCGTGACTTTACTTATAAACTCCATGACTGAGGAGCCATTTAACATCGTGTGTAAGACACTAGGTCAAACTGCTGTTGAAGAGTTGTCCCTAACAACAGGATTTACATTAAATATTAGATCCAACATTTAAAAAACTTACCTACATATACTTGTATATACATTTTGACTTTACACTCAAAGTTGTTCATATTTTTCTCAGAAAATTAGTGTTTCTCTTAATGTCACATTCCTCTTTATATCATATCGTGTAGGATACATGACATTAAGTGGAATAAAATGTATCTAATTATAAGAGACATTTTCTTACAAAAATGATACATGACATTACCCAGGTGGGTGGTGGGTGGAACAACTGTATCTACTGTTATAACCCTCACATGGATACATAATATTATCAACAAACAATTATAAAATCACATGATGATGGTATCAAAATTTAAAAATTAACAAATCAATCATAAAAAAATATATAAAACGATTGTACAGACGAACATCATTCAACGTAAAAATGTATACAACCTTGCTTGCTAACTTGTACACAATAAGATAACAAGATGGGACAAAAGAATTTATCATTTAAATTGACAAATCATTTTCTGCAAATGAATTTAACATTTTGTCTAATTTGACTATCAATGTGTCGATTAGGTGGGGTCATTTATCAAGATCTGGGTCATGGCCCAGTTTCATGGGACATACATGTTATGCAACAAAATTAATATTCAATACTCCTCTCTAATTTTTATTATCAGATGGGCAACAAATATATAGAGTATATATTTTGTACCTTGTTTCTTTTTGCCAGGAATATAACAAAAACAAGTTTGCCATGAGATATTAGCTCTATCTAGTTTTTTCTAAAATGTAGAAATTTTGCTTAATTATAAGTGCTTCTTTCTTTCCTTTTATTTTAATAATGAAAAAAAATTCTGACCCTGAACAATTTCTTAACCCTTTCACTCCTATGTAACTTTAGTAGACTCTACCATGCATTGATATGGATGAGTCCATTATGGTTTACAGTGGTGAAAGGGTTAATATATCAGGATAGACCTGGACTGACAGTAGATTTGGCTGCGAATACTGTAGTTGATATTGATAATATCTCCAGCACATCTCAAGTACCAGCAGCCAAAAGTGAACTCTGCAAACCTGACATCACAGATATCGGGACTACATTTTCATCGAAAACAGACTGGTTTTTCAGATCAAAAAGGTTTAATAAACATAAAAAAATTAAGAACTCTAGTTAACAAAGGATTTTGTATTAGTTTGATAAACATGTATACATGTAACATGACACAGGCTACTGTTAGACATAGGTTTGATATACATGTATGTTAGACATAGGTTTGATATACATGTATGTTAGACATAGGTTTCTCTTTTAAACTGCTGTACATTTCATTACTTCCAGCACTTTATAAATTGTTTCTCTATAACTCCCAGCCAATGGAACAAAAAAAAAAGAAAAAAAAAAAGATTTGATGTCACTATCTTATTATTTTTGTTTTGTTTTTACTTTTGTGCAATGGTACAAAAAATAACAAACTCATCATTAACAATTGATTATGATGAACTAAGTGTCTTTGGCTTTTAGCAATTATGACTAATCAATTACAAAATATTTAATTAGTCTGCAACCACTTGAACCTTGCTTTCCTGTGCACAGACATTTAGTGTCACCTCACACTCACACATAATCACACTATAATACATAAAGCCTGTATATATGTATTGATCAATAATCATGCTAGAATTTCTCAAGGCTTTGTATTCCTGATCACAACTATTCACAGTATAAACTTCACAGCTATTAACATTAAGTATATTCCTCACATAATCTGTTCCTCACAGCTATTCACATAATTTATTCCTCCCAACTATTCACATAATTTATTCTTCACAACTATTCACATAATCTATTCCTCATAACTATTCACATAATCTGTTCCTCCCAACTATTCACATAATTTATTCCTCCCAACTTTTAACATAATCTATTCCTCCCCACTATTCACATAATCTATTCCTCCCAATTATTCACATAATATATTCCTCCCAACTATTCACATAATCTATTCCTCCCAACTATTCACATAATATATTCCTCCCAACTATTCACATAATCACTTCCTCAGAACTCATGAACATTTATAATTTATTTCTCAAAGATAATCATATAATCTATTCCTTACAGCTATCCACGTATTCTATTTCTCACATCTATTCACATTATTAATTCTTCACAATTATTAACATTGTAATTCCTCAAGGCTATTCACATAATTAGTTCCATCAAGCAATTGACAATACCCATTCCTCAGAAATAGATAATGCTGTACATAAATATGACAATGCAAGCCAAGGACCATCAACAAGTTTCTTTTCATTATTGGATGTTCTACACCAGAACAACTTCTGATAAACAGGAAGTCAATCGTTTTCCATATTTTCCCCACTTACAATAGAGTTGTTACCTTCTGAATGAGGTTCTATTACAAACGTGCTGTATACCTGCAGACAGATGGTTGGAGAATCTTTTGTAAACGATATATGGCAAACAATCCACTTCTTGCTTACCTTGGGATCTCACAGTGTAGGGTGTAATATTTTTGGGATAGGTCATCTATGGTCTTAACTAATGTCGTCATTTATAAACAATATACCTATATATATATATCATGTATATTTTGTTCACGAAATCGACACCATCCACAAAATGTCTACTGCATACAACCACAAGTAGAATTGGAACAACAGTTCATTTAATGATGTAGAAAGCTTGATCATAACAGGTGGGTTAATAATTGTTTTTATGTTGTATCTACATTTTTACATCTTGAAGTTGCTAAGAACAACATCCACCATCGCTTTTCTTTGATTTTCGGAACCGGTCTTCATCACCAATTTCAATTTTATCGGGATCATTCTCATCCTCCGCTCGTAAGTTTTTATCATTTTGTAAAATCTGAAAAGGCAAAAATTAAAAAAACCATTTGTAATAATTAGCTGCTGTAAAACATGGGAACCAGGCTTTTGGATATTCTGAGAAATGTTTAATCTGACTCCTGAATTTTTGTCTAATGTAATCTTTTGGAATTACAACATCTTGTCTAATACGACCTGACTATTCTAAAATAGAACCTTGACATACTGTCTATACTAACCCTTAGAATCTTGACATACTGTCTATACTAACCCTGAGAACCTTGACAAACTGTCTACACTAATCCTGAGAACCTTGACATACTGTCTGTCTACACTAACCCTGAGAACCTTGACAAACTGTCTATACTAACCCTTAGAATCTTGACATACTGTCTATACTAACCCTGAGAACCTTGACAAACTGTCTACACTAACCCTGAGAACCTTGACATACTGTCTATACTAACCCTGAGAACCTTGACAAACTGTCTACACTAACCCTGAGAACCTTGACATACTGTCTACACTAACCCTGAGAACCTTGCCATACTGTCTACACTAACCCTGAGAACCAGGACATTCTGTCTATACTAACCCAGTTTATTTTTTCTGACTTCATATTAATGTCATTGAGTTAACCCTATTTAAGTCCTTTCCAAACAAGATATATACATTGTAGCAATCTAAATTCATTAGAGTAAGGGAAACAACTCTGATTTAATTTATGGAATAAATCTTATATTTTATCTATTCAGTCAGAGACTGGTAATGTTTTTGATATTTATAAGTTGATAAATAATGACATTGTATATATATTGACAACCCATGCTGCATAAATGCGACAGGATACAGTCCATAAAGTCCTCGTGTATAAATGCATTGACCACTCCACCAATAGAATACATACAGGATACCTCATCAACAACTGCACTATAAACTGTCATATTCCAGATAACCATGCATAATCTCCCCTGGCAAATTAATTTGCAACATCCTGTAAAAACCTACAAAAGTTTTCTAACACAATGATCTCTATCTGACAAAAACTATGATAATCTCATCTCCTTTAAAAAAACAACCACCGGTGTATTATAACACCCTATCCAAGCAATTTATGGATTCCACGAGCGTCAAATTAGACAGGTTTCACTATAGTACTGTGTATGAAAAAAAACAAAAGTAGTTGAATGATGCTGCTTTATTTTTCTAAATCACATGTATCATCACACAATTAACCTGAGTGCATGCATTATCTCCAAATATGTCCATCAGATTAACATTTCTGTTATACTTTTAACTGGCTAGTTTTATACTGAAAGAGACGTTAAAAGATCTAAAAATAGTCAAATGTCACTCATGAAATTTCATTAAATTCAGGGGTTTATGCTACATTACAGTGAGAAACAGGAAAGAGTGATATACAGAAAAACCAGTCAAATACATTCCAGTCATGAATGGCATTATTTGGACTCCATTATTTTTAACAGCTAACATACACATATTTCAAAGGCAAACAAGGAATGTGTGTCATCCTTTTTTACTTTGTGAATATAGTGATAATGATATTTCCAAAGGGAAATAACTTTAACATATCAATCACAATGTATAAAGTCTGTTTTCTGAAAGGTACTTTATTATGATGACATGCTACCTAGCTTACACATAATACAATTTATTCTGACAGTGTTGCGAGTTGTCTCCCTTAGTTGTTAGGATTAATGTGTATTGAACAGTTAATTGATGTTGTAGTTTCCAATGTTTACTAGTCCATGTGGAATTTCCAATAACCCAATATTATTCAATAAGATATTAATGCAATTTCAAATTTTAACTTGTCAATCTGACTAGCAGTTATCAGAAGCATTAGTGAATCTGGAAAGATTTCACCTAAGTCTCAGACTATCAGGCTATCCTTATTGTCCAGCCCTGAAATATGTCACTGCTCATACTGAAATTGTTGTTCAATAGGAATACTTAATAATAATAATAATAATAATAATAATAATAATAATTTGAGGTTCTTAAATACCTCTTTATCACAACCTAGTTTGCAGGTCGTCTCAAAGCAGTTCATAAATTATCATCCGTGGTTATAGGGTTTTTGCAACCAACCAATATCTTCTCAACTCCCTGTGAAGCATACAGCCTTTGCTGTCATTTCAGCGCTCACAGCTAGCATTCTACAATTCAAGCACTGCCCAATCACATACTCATTTACAGCTGAGTAAACTGGAACAAGCGGAGTAAAGTATCTTGTTCAAAGATACAACACAGTGCTGTGACGTGACTTGAACCCACAACCCTTTGGTCACGAGTCTGGAATCCTACCACTAGACTACCGTGCCTCCGATATTTACAGTTCCTTAATGTGAAACTCTTTTAAAATGGAGGTATAAATGTCACAGTTATGTATATCCTTAGATGATACCTACCTTATTAACTAAGAATCTAGTGGCCTCATCAATATAAATGTTTTCTTTAGCCGATATTTACAGTTCCTTGATGTGAAACTCTTTTAAAATGGAGATATAAATGTCACAGTTATGTATACCCTTAGATGATACCTACCTTATTAACTAAGAATCTAGTGGCCTCATCAATATTAATGTTTTCTTTAGCCGAGGTCTCAAACCAGCCTCCGAATCCCTTTTCCCGACAGAACTCGTCCATGTGAGAGGAGTTGTTTACAAGTCCCTCCTTAGCTTGGTCGCACTGAAAACAAGACACAATCATCATCACTATACCATCAGGTTTTACTTCCTGTATTACTGTGATCCAATGACCATTGTCTTAAGCACTATTCAGTATGCCCTCACATTGGAATTTTATGAAACTTAATTAAGCTTCTTTGGAATCAGAACAAATTCAGATTTTTTCTTAGGTTTTTATTGGGTTGTAATGTTGCCGATTAATCACAATAATTTAAAGATATTTATTTCATATAAAATCAAAATTTAATATAAATTACATATGACCTTCCTGTTATGTAGAGATAAAAAAACATATTAGAGGGCTGTCATGATCATCTGCTATTGACCAGAAAAAAACCTATATAATCACATGTTAGATGGCTGTCGTCTGCTAATTGGCCTTTACCTTATTAGGCAGTAGATAAAAACATGTAAGAGGGCTGTCATCTGCTAATTGGCCTTTACATACCTTATTAGCAAGAAGGACACAGGGTATAGGACTGCCGTCTGCTAGTTGGACTTTACTGTCCAGGTCACCCTTCCACTTAGTAACAGCATCAAAAGTAGATGCTCTTGTGACATCAAAAACTATAATACAGCCCACGGCTTCCCGATAGTAGACACGGGTCATGTTGCCAAACCGCTCCTGGCCTACAAATCAAGAGAGTTGGTCCTTTATACAATGCATCTACAAGTTAGTCTAGATAATCGGATACCAGCTACTGTGGCTGGGCAGGACTCGAAGTCATGCATGACTCTTTAAGTATGTCTTGTATAGAGATGAGGCCCAGGTATTATGAAACAATCTAAGACTAAAGTGATTGCTCAGCCAATCATATATGATGTCACTGATTTCATGAAATTATTTGTCATTGGTTGAGTCAAAGCTTAAGACAATTTTTATTTTTACACTAAACTTTAGTGTAAAAATAAAAAATAAGCAGATAAACGAACTTTAGTCTAAAGTTCGTTTTATGATCTCAGGGCTACGTAGGCCCTGGGATTATGAAACAATCTAAGACTAAAGTGATTGCTCAGCCTAGCATGTATGACAACATTTTTCATGACGTTATTTGTGTTTGTCTAAGTCAAAACTTAAGACAAATTTAGAATTGAGACTGTTTCATGATCCTGGGACCAGAAATATACAATGATGATATCAGTAAGTTGGCCTGTACCATAATTAGTCAGTGAGCTCACTCAGGTGACTCGAAAAAAGTTCATTATTCATTACTAAACCGCAACCAAAAACACAGCTAAAGTCAATAAAAAGACGAAGGTTTGATGTTTTACAGTGGTTTATCCTCGTTTTCATTGTATTCTTTATATTTTAATCCTTAATTTTAGCAGCCTAGAAATATTGTCTCACCATGCAGCTACATGTGTGTTTTAAGAAGAATCATTAGACTGGAATCTGATAGAAAACACTAAGTTTTACAACCAGCTTTCCAACAAAACAACAAAAGTTATAAAACAGCATCAGCTACAGTAGAGGAATCGCAATCAAAACAAACTGAATGTAATTGTTCGTAAAAAAATGCTCATTAATAGCTTGAGTTTACATATACATGTATACTAATATTAAATAACTAGTACATTATCAAATAACATTGCTCATTAATAGCTTGAGTTTATATAAACATGTATACTAATAACTAGAGCACAATTACATTGTAATATAAGTGGAAACTTACCTGCAATGTCCCATAGTTGTAGCCGCACGATCGTCTCTGCATCCCAATTCAACACTTTCAATGCAAAATCTACACCTATCTGTGATTATGTTAAGGCTAGTCAAAGGGAAATAACTCATTCAAATTCACAAAATATTCTGTCTAACTTGATTTTCTAATCCTTTTTTTCAATTTAACTGAGGTGACAGAGGAGAGACTCACAGAAATGTTATGAACCAGTGACTGATGGTCATTCAAAGAATCAGTTTATTTGAAATTATGACATCCAGCGATTCTTCTGTTTACCTGATAATCTCAGTGTATCCATGCATAATACAGCCATAAGTTGATCAGGAATGACGAAAATATTGCTGATGTACTCAATATAGTCATACCATCTAAATACCATCTATATAGGCACTGGTCCAAACAAATAAACGATTGTTGGATGCATATTACTTAAATGAATCTATAAGCAAAGAAGTAATAGTGACAGTGCTATAATGTACTAAATATATTTATACCTCATTCACCTCTGAAGACACATTTGAACTCTTCCAATTCAAAGGTAGGAATAGTTCATTATGAAAATTCAGGGGTGAATGAGTTTAAACATTAATGTAATGTTTTGTCATTTTGGATACCTGAAATATTACTAATATATTAAATATGTTCTGTATTTATCCTGCAATAAGCTCGGATGTTAAAAGTCATGAAACTTAAATGTCGAGGGGGCGGGCTTAATATTACAAGATAATGAATTAGCATTATTATAAGTCTACTGAACTTCACTAGATAAGAGGTGGGCTTATTATCGCACATGTTAAATAGATACAGTATATTTAGTACATTATGTCATTAGTAATTAAGAAAGAAAATCCTCCTTTGTGATGACATTTTAGGTACTTTAGTAATGACAAATTCATTCTTTCCATGAACTTAATGATATACATGTACAAATCAAATTCTATTGAAAAATTTAACAAAATGTTGCAATTTAATTTGTCATTCAGCAATAATTGTTTAATCATGATTGATGAATAAATTAAATTACATATATCATTTAAAAAATGCAATATTAATAGTCTTGTCTCATTAAATCTTAATCAGCTTGTCACAATTACAAATTTAAAGTGGTATATTTCTTTTTAATTAACAGTTAAATTCAAAGTTTCCATTAAGGTAACAGCACTTGCTGCATTGAGTGACAATTCCGTCTTTGCGTATTGCAGAGTTATCTTCTCTTGAGAGCAGGTATTGATTGTTACGTCATTTGTTTGTGAGAGTAACGTCATCAATTTTCGAGAAAACGACGTAATTTTCTCACACAAACCAATGACGTAACAATCAATACCTGCTCTCAAGAGAAGATAACTCTGCAATACGCAAAGACGGAATTCCCATCAACCAATCAGAAATGACTGCACCCATACATAGCTAAGGATACGGTGGCTCTGTAGTGCTGAGAGAAGAACTGATGGACATATCGCTTGATGATACTTGTCTTGCCGGTGCCAAGCTCCCCGATGACCAGGATTTTGTACAAATGTTCTTTTTTGGTGTTCTCTGTGGCTCCAGTCTGTAAAAATATAACACAGTTTTCATTAAATATATTGACCTAATCTGTAAAAAAAATCATGTAGGTAGTTCTGAATTTCTATTTTGTTTTTCTTTCCTAAACTGGGGTTTCACCATCAGTCATTTCCCAGTACAATAACCGGTATGTATACTTTTACTATCTGTTTATAAAGTAGAGTATGGGCCCAGGTTTTAAGTCCGAAGCCTTAATTATCTCAAACGAGTTTTTGACACAAGTTTTCAATGGAGAATTGTTTAAGGATTAACTTGAATATATTTTTCATGTTATGGAGATATAACACAAAAAACGGAGTGTACTCTAAATAAACCGTGAAGCGGTTTATGATGAGAGTACACTCCGGTTTTTTGTGTTATAGCTCCATAACACGAAAAATATATTCAATTTAATCCTTATAATTTAATCTACTTTACACAATCCCTGTGGAAATCCACTTTTATTGATGGACTGTTTTCTCTTAGAAATTATTGCGCTGCTGTATCAGCCAATCAAAAGCGACGTTACAAACGGCGATGTCATTTTTTTACGTTATGGGCTGATAACATAAATTTGTAAGCCAATGAGAATGCTTGTTACAAGCAAGATTAAATTATTTGATATAAATCTTATCTTCATGGCATCATGAATCTCTCCACATGTAACTTCATATCAGAACATCCAATTTTTCTGCAAATATTCAAGATTGAAATTTCACATAGAATTAACTATTACGTTTACTAATGCTTGAACACGGCATGGGTCTGGCTATACTGTGAAGCATTATCAAGCACCCCTGTCTCACTGCACTGTGTTTTGGGTATATATATACAGTAGTCTCCCCTTATTTTCACTTAAGATATATAACTAATAATAATGTACGTAGCACTGTTGGTCCAGGACACTTCCGTCGACAGGTAGCACTTAGTCGGTTAGAGTGACAGTATAACAGTCCGAGGTTCCGGGTTGGAATCCTCGTCTATAGCCTGATGCTGACTTTTTACATTCACAACACTGTTTTTCATTATTTTCTGTTTAATTCATCTCTTTTCTATTTAGTTTCATGAAACCTCACATGACATACAGTACTTTTCTTTTCAAAAATGATTCCGTTCAAGTAAGATAAGCTTTTAATATTAATGGTAACTAATTATAACAGATGTGCAGCAGAATCCTTTCATCCAGGATACCATCAAATTGAATTAACAGTACAACTTATTGAGTTCGTTCTCGTCTTCGGATTTGAAGAATTAAGACGAATAATTAGTTTTGCCAATAACTGCTAAGCATGTATATAGTTTTTGGCAGCAATACAGGGCTTGACTCAGCTTCTTAATGCAGTCATGTTCTATTAGATAAAGTAAGCTGGTTTAAAAGTCCAATTATTTCTGTATAGAGAAAGGAGAACTACTCCCTGTCTGAATATAGTAGACTGGCCACCAGCCACTAAGTTTTTATGAAGAATTTCTCGACTGCATTTTACTACTAGCTTATCTCCCCCTATCTAGAATCAGACATCAAAGTGAACTTATTATTAGAGTTATTTTTTCTTTCTTAATTTTTTAATATTCTAGAGACGGTGGCCAGTCTATTAATATAGTAGCACTATCCAAATGCTAGTGAGGCTGAATTATATACTTATGGTCTACCAATGATAACTATACATGTACAAATGTACTTGAAGCTGACCTCGAGCTTAGAGGATAAACACATCGCTACATGTAAAGTAAGTTATCATGTGAGACCAGATAACAGCTGTGTATAATATGATTCATAACAATAAATTTAGATCAATGCATCATTAAGCTTACAAAGTATGACATATATATCAAGAATTATATGAAGTAGCATAACAGATATAGTGATGTTGATGACTATCATGGCTGAGATAACAACACCCATGTTTATACATGTATTGAAACACATGCAGGAATAAAATTATAACCCAGACACCATATGGTATTAATAGAATCTATCGCTACTGGTTGTGTAAGATAGAGAAATCTCAACCCGAGGACTAAAATTTTTGTCCAGAACGAGGCTTGCCGAGTTCTTGTCCAGAACGAGGCTTGCCAAGTTCTGGACAAAAAATCTTAGTCCTCGGGTTGAGATTTCTCTATCTTACACAACCAGTAGCGATTGATTATTTTTCTCCCATATCTAACAGTATTTTAACGTGAAATAAAGGTAAACATGGACCCAAAACACATACAGGCAATTTGTTGGTGGATTGTTGACGTGATGTCATTGTATTGTTGAAGTGACGTCATGCCATTGTTATGAATAGGGGAATCCCCCCGTCTCAACCCTAGGGCGGAGACAGATAAATCTAGCACCGGCAAAACGGGAGATAAATCTGTCAGGTGTGGGAGAAATTCATGTCTCACAACACCATACCATATAAATATTCAGTAAATTGTGAGATAACATGTACTACAATCGTAAATAAATCAGTTTTGTCTCGATCGTTTCTATATATTTTTATAACAGGAGAAATATAGGGTGTACATATTTTGAAAGCTGCTATAACAATAGTGTTTGGGTGCATGGTGCTGTGGATAACACACGTGGCTTTCACCCGGGGGACTGGGGTTTGATTCCCCGTTCAGACGTGAAAAGGTACGGGGTCACTAAATGTCCAACCATGTGGTTTTATTTCCGGTTCAGAGTGGAATAGACTGGTTGGGTTATATCGACTGTAACAAAACTGAATGTTTCTGAACTCCATTGGACTAAAAAATATAGAAATATACAATTTTTCATAGGGGGTACTTTTTGGTCAGGGTATAAAAAGTATCCGGGGATGGGGGGCGGGGGGAGTACATTTTAGTCCAGGTGTATAAAAAGTATCCGGGGGGTGGGGAGTTGAAGAGAGGTTAGGTAATGACTATAACATAACTGTTAATGTTTCTACATGACTCCCCAAACCTTATTTTGTCCAGTGATTGAAAATTATTTAGGCATAATTTCCTGGCCCAGGGGGTGGGGATTGGTGGGGTAGGGGTGGATAGATAATCCCCTGTAACATCCTGATCAACTTCTGAACTCTTTTGGACTAAAAATATTGAAAAATTGAATTTTTTCATAGGGGGGGTGGTTACATTTTATGTTTCCTCCCAGGTTAAGACCTTCCGCGCTCTAACATCGGGGCCAACAATTTATTGATCAATATATAAGTTGTTATAACTTATTTTATAATTGTTGTGCCTCATCACAAAAGAGGTTTCCAACTTCAAAATGCTATTGAATGAGGGAACTGTATGTACATTTGTATATACAATTTTCTTTTTTAAAACCTGTCTAAACTGGCTTGTCTGATGTGACAATCCCTGTCTATATCAAGTGTGATGAATGGTCCTCCAGAATTTCAATCCTCTTTTATATCACAGTATATCAACTTTACATGTACATGATGTCTATTAAGAGTTCTGTCTACCGACATTGATTTATTAGATTCCTCCATGAAAATCTTTGCTAACACACTTCGGCTTTTACATTTTCCTGGCCTGAAAATGTTTTTACTGAAGTAAAACATGTACTTCTGTTGACTTAATTGTTGTTTATATATTATTTGTAAGTATTTATACCTAGAAACATAACTTAATATTTATTATTTTCTGTTCTTACTTGTTGGTCATTTGTAAATTTCAATAAATATAAAGATATTGCATATTTTGATAAATCCAACATGAGTCTATCTACCCCGGACCCTGCATTATAATTTCGGTCCAAGTGACATATCTCATGATTTACACAGTAATACAATTTATTCACCAGAAGATATTTTGCGTGTACATGAATCTGAATAGATTCACACGTGACATCAGGAAATATAGGCGAGGTCAATTCTTAAGATTTACAATTCTGGCTGATCTAATGCGATGTACTGTAGTTGATAGCACACTCACCTTAAACCAGGTAGAATTCATTTCCTGATTGCACAAGAAGACGTGCCTAACTAAATGGGTTTTTCTTAGTTTTTTCTATCCTCTGCAGGTAGGGCGTAAGAATTGTACCTGCTGCCCCCATTGCATGATCGTAAGAGGCGACCAGATAAAACTTTCTTCTTCCTAATGTCTCCCTTGACAATGCCTCACTTTTGGACATTAGTTGAGCGTTCGCCCCTGTGAGGAAGGCTTTGGGTTCTGTTCCCTGGCCGAGACATACCAGAGTCTGTAAAAATGGTAGTTTCTACTCCTGCTTAACGCTCAGCAATTTAGAAGTGGGACGACTGGTTCAACTGTTATCAGTATAATGTGACCATGTGGGGTGACCTTCTGGGTGTTTTCAGCAGTATGTTTCAGTGAGGTAGCACTATAAAGATGGCATCAGTTCCGCGCTTATTGATCACAAGGAGACAAACACGAACATATTGCAGCCTCCCAAAACACACACGCATTCATGTACACTCAACACGCATGCATCTTGCACACAGGGGAGGCTAATCCTTAAATGACCATAGCTGTTAATAGGACGTTAAACAATACGAAACCAAACCAAAACTTATTTTTTCCTGAATTTCCTTCCACATTCAGTCCTCTTGCACATTTTCATCATGGCTAACAAGATGATTCATTAATACATTTATTTCAGAACTTATTTCATATTATTTTTAAATCAATAAATTTTATTAGATGATACAAATTTCCAGATAATTGCGACATCTTACCTCCGAACCCAATAATAAACAACCAGTGTATTCTTAATGATCTATAAACTAGGATTTAACTTCACAATATTTTTTTTATTTAATTGAAAAGGTACAGACAAAAGTTATCTCTATGTGTTTTGTTTAGACGTGATGAAATTTTTATCGATTCTTTATCTATACTAAAATCTACCTGTATTTTATCTGAAAATATGCAATATGGTATTGATTAACAGCAAGATTTACAACAATGAGACAGGTTAAAGCATTGTGATGTATACGTAATTATCAGTACCTTGTCGACAGACTTTGTGATTCAACAAACGTAAACATTTATCCGTCAATCAACACTGATACACAGTGACCTTTGATCTAACTAAATAAGCCATGTAACTTCCTGGTTGAATCGTTTTTAAATTTTCCCTTTAAGGAAGTTTGAAGTCTTAGAAACATTGTCCTATGGTATTTTACGTTAGATCTGTCAAGTTTTTATTTTATTTAATTTACAGTAAAAAGCTCAACATTTTAACACAAAAATAGTTACTTCTTAAGGGGGTGTTGCATATTACATGTTATATTTGACATTGGTATTATTTTCCAGGAGTATTTTGAAAATTCTTTATAATACAAACCATATTTGCCATAATAAGTGCCTTGTCCCCCTCCCTTTTTTGGTATGAATTGATATTGAAATTGAATAGGCCTCCCTCCCCCC